TTCAAACATTGCTCATATATGCCTTTCACATTTTAAAAGTTGACATCTAAGGTTTTTCAAACCAAAAATATTATAGTTGGAGATGTGATTCCAAGTGGATTGGAAACACTGACATTCATTTATTTATTTATTTATTTTTATTTTATTTTATTTATTTTTGAGACAGAGTCTGGCTCTGTCACCCAGGCTGGAGTGCAGTGAGTGGCACAATTTCGGCTCACTGCAACCTCCGCCTCCCTGGGTCAAGTGATTCTCCTGCCTCAGCCTCCCGAGTAGCTAGGACTACAGGCGTGCACCACCACATCCAGCTAATATTTTCTGTCTTTTTAACAGAGACGGGGTTTCTCCATGTTGGCCTGGCTGGTCTCAAACTCTTGACCTCAGGTGATCTGCCCGACTTGGCCTCCCAAAGTGCTGGGATTACAGGCATGAGCCATCATGCCCAGCCAAAACGCTGACATTTTAAAATAAAAACTACCATGTCATGGTTTTAAATGTGTCCAGTCCAATCTGAATGTTATAACTATCTGGTACATACCACCATCCATTTATAAAATAAATATACAAGCCCTTAACAACTGAAAACTTACCATTTTTTCTTTTCTCTTTGAACTTGTAGTTCCATTCTATCACTACTACAGAATTTATACTAATGTAATATATTTTTATGCATGAAAATCTTTTACTGGCCAGGTGCAATGCCTCACACTGTAATCCCAGCAGTTTGGGAGCCTGGGGTGGAGGATCACTTGAGGCCAGGAGTTAGGGACCAGCCTGGCCAATATGGCAAAACCCCATCTTTACTAAAAATACAAAAATTAGCCAGGTGTGGTAGTCCACACCTGTAACCCCAGCGACTTGGAAAGCTAAGGTGGGAGAATGTCGAGCCTGGGAGGCGGAGGTTGCAGTGAACAGAGATCGTACCACTGTACTCCAGCTTGGACAACAGAGCAAGACTCTCGTCTTCAAAAAAAACAAAATCTTTTACTGACTGCCCTATTATACTTCTGCAACAAAATATCACATGAATTATTTAATTTTTTTCAGCTTCCTTTAAATCAGGCGTCCTCAAACTTTTTACACAGGGGGCCAGTTCGCTGTCCTTCAGACCGTTGGAGGGCCGCCACATACTGTGCTCCTCTCACTGACCACCAATGAAAGAGGTGCGGCGGGGAGCCGGATAAATGGCCTCAGGGGGCCGCATGCGGCCCGCAGGCTGTAGTTTGGGGACGCGAGCTTTAAATGTTAAAAAATGTTTTATTAAAAAGTTTTCTAGACAGAATTATCACTATGGTAATCTGCAGTGCATAATTGTAAAAACAAAATATGTATGTTTAGATTCACAATTCCAAACAAGTAAAATTTTATTGGAAATACGTTCTTTTTTATTTATTTACTTTTTGAGATGGAGTTTTGCTCTTGTCGCCCAGAGTGGAGTGGAATGGTGTGGTCTCAGCTTACTGCAACCTCCGCTCCCTGGGTTCAAACAATTCTTCTGCCTTAGCCTCCCTAACAGCTGGGGTCACAGGCACGTGCCATCACGCCTAGCTAATTTTTGTATTTTTAGTAGAGATGGGGTTTTACTATGTTGGCCAGGCTGGTCTCAAACTCCTGACCTCAAGTGATTTGCCTACCTCAGCCTCCTAAAGTGCTGGGATTACAGCCATGAGCCACCACACCCGGCCAGGCAATACATTCTTAATAACTGAATAGGACATAAACTTTGAATTGGTCCATGTCTCTATGGCTGAGTGTTACATACTATTGGAAGGAGACAGTTCCTCTTGCTCTAGCCCAGTCCTCGTACAGTCACCATAAACAAACCACTATTCTGTCGAGATCAGGTTTATTGACTTTAATGCACTTCAGTAGAATTGAGAGGTGTGTTTCCTAACAAAGGAAAAGGTACAGGTATTAAAGCAGTTAAGGGAGGGTAGAGTATAAATGAAATTTAAATGAAGTCGTTTTTGTTTTTGTTTTTGTTTTGAGACGGAGTTTCGCTCTTGTTAACCAGGCTGGAGTGCAATGGCACGATTTCGGCTCACAGCAACCTCCGCCTCCTGGGTTCAGGCAATTCTGCCTCAGCCTCCTGAGTAGCTGGGATTACAGGCACGTGCCACCATGCCCAGCTAATTTTTTGTATTTTTAGTAGAGACGGGGCTTCACCATGTTGACCAGGATGGTCTTAATCTCTTGACCTCGTGATCCACCCGCCTCGGCCTCCCAAAGTGCTGGGATCACAGGCGTGAGCCACCGCGCCCAGCCATGAAGTTGTTTTTGAGAAACTCGAGCAACTAGCAGGGCTGTACAGTGTAAAGGGGTCAGCGTCATATCTGGCTGGCAGAGTAGGCCAGGATCCCATTTCCCCAGAAACTGCGATACAAAGTTTAGACAGATGTGGAATGTTGTGTCCAGAAACCCCCTATCTGAAGCTCTACACCTGGGTTGGAAATCTAGGCTGCTTCTCAGTATCAAAGTGACTTACAGATCCTCAAGGCTAGAGGAATATTTCATTTTTTTACTGTAATAATTTCTAATAGCAAAGTTTCTGATAGTTTATAATATTAAGGAACAAAATTCTTCAGTGAGTCAAAAGGCAGTAGTCACTCAAAGAATGGAATTAAGACACTTTGCAGCTTATCCAAGGGGAAAAAACATTGTTTCCTCTTAACTTTACAGCTGGCTTTACCCATGTCTTTCATTCCAATCCAAAGAATCGCTAGGCAGATTTTGACCAGCAAAGCTAAGTTTTCCTTTTTCAATGTCAGTTGGAATGTTCAGTGTTTGCTTTTATTTTTTGGAGACAGAGTCTTGCTCTGTTGCCAGGCTGGAGTGCAGTGGCACGATCTCGGCTCACTGCAACCTCTACCTCCTGAGTTCCAGCAATTCTGCTTCAGCCTCCTGAATAGCTGGGACTACAGGTGTGCACCACAATACCCAGGTAATTTTTGTATTTTTAGTAGAGATGGTTTCACCATGTTGGTCAGGATGGTCTTGATCTCTTGACGTCATGATCCACCTGCCTTGGCCTTTCCAAAGTGCTGGGATTACAGGAGTGAGCCACTGTGCCCCGCCAGTGTTTGCTTTTTATAGATGTAAGTACTGAGAGACCTGGGCCACCTAAACTCTGGGCATGAGGGAGTTATTTTTTTTTTTAAGAGATGGGGGCTCCCTCTGTCACCCAGGCTGGAGTACAGTGGTGTAATCATAGCTCACCACAGCTTCGAACTCCTGGCTTAAGTGATCCTCTCGCCTCAGCCTCCTGAGTTGCTGAGACTGCAGGCTCGTGTCACCATGCATGGCTGTTTTTACTGTTACTTTTTGTGGAGACAGGATCTTGCTCTGTTGCCCAGGCTGGTCTCAAACTCCTAGCCCCAAGCCATCCTCCCATCTCAGCCTCCCAAAGTGCTGGGATTACAGGCATGAGCCACTGTGCCCAGCCATGAAAGAAATGTTGGTATAGCCTTGCCATTTTGGACCACCTTCCAAGTTATATGCTAAAATAAACAGAGTAACTTTGTATCATATTTAGCAATCTGTTCACTGAAAATACTTTTGGACCCTTTTTCAACTTTATTGAAAGCAAGAATGAAAGCACCGTACTTGCATGTGAGTGTGTCAGAGCTACACCGGTATTCCAGATGCCCCTCTATTTGGCACCCCATATGTTTTCACACTTGGGGATGAGGTATCACTGTAAAATTTGAGATGGGTGAGGGGTGCAGCTTTTGTAAGGTGGAAGAAGGGTGAATGTGGAAAGGGGCATTTGAAATCACTTTCTTAAGTAAGAGAAGAGGTGGCAACTGAGGATCTGGGAATTCCCTAAACACTCCCCACGCCTGGCGGTAATTCCTGGATAACCACATACTGGCCAGGAGGTTTCTGGAAGTCAGTGCTTAGCATGTGGCGGTGGAGGTGGGGGGCGGTAGACGGACTGGAGATACCGTGTAGTCTGGGCTGTTCATTAAGTGGCGCTCTGTTGACAGAACAGAGCATTTGAGGGCTAAGGCAGTCACGATTTGTAATCTGTCAAGAATAAATAATATAAATGAATTGCATTGAGGAAATGCCTTTTCCATTTTTAATTGTGCTCAACTGGTTTTCTTATTAATAATGCACTAGAAAGTCCTGCTTTTGCTTCTTACTCATAGTTTTTTCCCCCCCTTTCCAAAGTGGTTTTCCTTGGAGGAAACAAAAGTCCATGATTTTTCTTTTTTCTCCTTTTTTTTTCTTTCTCTTTTTTCTACTTTCTAACTACAGCTCAGAGGCTCATCAGAAAATCAAACGGATGGTTTGAGAGGCTTGTGGACTCAGCTGAAATCCTGGTGGTCTGATGTGCACAAGTATTTTTTTCTCTTGTCCTCAGTACTACCTGCGAATGCTGCTATAATGTTTTATATATATATATATATATATATATATATATATATATATGAGTGTATGTAACACAAAATACATATACACACAAAAAACATTTTTTCTCTGTGTGTATATACACAGAAAAAAAGTATGTATATATATACATGCCAAACACATATATATACATAAAACATATATATATATATATATATATAATACATCTGTAACACATATATATGTGTATTCTAAACTTACCATTTCAATGAGTTTGACAGTATAGTCCCCAAATACACTTCACTTGCACAGGTTCTCAGGATTTGAAAAAACAAAATACGCTTTGCAGTCATGTCTCTTAAGCCTTGAAATAACATTCTTCTTTATGGCACATACATTCTAGACAATTGCTTCTCAAAATTCCCATAGTAACAGAGGCCAGTCCATAGTGAAGCGTTATAAATGGAGTTGTCAGAAACTAGATGAAAGAAGTGGGCATAAAAATTCAAACTACTGGACTTATGAGAATTTGGGTTTTACTTTGGATATCACTTAAGAAATCAGTGCTTGCTGATTTCTTGCTGATCAGGGCATTTATTTTGCTAACGTGTAGTTCATAGCTGCTGTATTTGCTTCTTCTCTTTCAGGTTTCATTTCCAGGGACCCTGTGGAACGACTCTTCCTGAAGCCCTTGCCCCTCATGAAAATGAAACTGTTTCTTAAGTATCCTGGGCAAGAAGGAAATTATATCTAAGAACTAGGCCACACGCAGAGAAGAAATGGTCTTATGGGTGGTGAGCTGAATATTGAACAATCTAAAAATATCCTCTTATTCCCTAGCTGGAATCCAACCTGTTGATAAGTGATGGGGGTTTGGAAGTAGCAAGAGCACCCACATTCAGAAGTTACAGGACTGTAAAGTTAATGCATATTATTTGGTTTGAACTGAAAAGTAAGATATCTTTGATGTGTGTGGTTGATTATTGAGAGGGAAAAATTTAGTAAATTAGATTGTCTTAAAAAATACCGTTATCCTGGTTATATTTTTGTTATTTAGGCAAGGTGTAGAAGTCGAGGGGTAAAAACCTTTTAATTGTAATTTTTGCATGAGTTTCAGTAGAAAATGAAATCACTCTCTATAGTAGGTAATTTATTGTATAAAGACGTTACCCCAGGATATGGCTTTACTGGAGGCTCTTTAACCTTGTTTGGCTACATTACCTCAGTGAACAAGGGGCAGCTCACAATAGGAACTCATGCAAAGAAGGAAGAGAACAGTAGAGATGGGCAGACTGGGATGGGGTTAGGGGTAAGGCGCCTGAAGTTCGCCTGAGTGGGAATTTTTAAAGTATTAAAGGACTTTGGGCCGGGCACGGTCGCTCACACCTGTAATCCGAGCAGTTTGGGAGGCAGGTGGATCACTTGAGGTCAGGAGTTTGAGACCAGCCTGACCAACATGGTGAAACCCTGTCTCTATTAATAATACAAAACTTAGCCGGGTGTGGTGGCACGCGCCTGTAATCCAAGCTACTCAGGAGGCTGAGGCAGGAGAATCGCTTGAACTTGGGAGGCGGAGGTTGCAGTGAGCCGAGATGGCGCCACTGCAGTCCAACCTGGGTGACTCCGGCTCAAAAAAAAAGACTTCTACCTGGCGGACTGCGGCAGTGGAGCGAAGTCGGTACAAATGCATGGCAGGTGTGAAACAGCTTGATCTGTTCAACGAGTGATGAATCATTTAGTATCGTGTAGTAGGTAGGAGGAGAGAAACACGGCGATCACAAAGCGTCATGTTTGTCAACAAATAAAATACACGTGGAAAAATAGTGTACGTTTGTGTATGTACCACAGAACTCTAGGTGCATTCTCTAGGGCACGGCGAAGCCGTTCTTTCAGGTTTGCTCAGCATTTGCCGCGGCCAGCCCGGCACCAGGAAGGGCGCCGCTTCCACAGGGCCCGCGGGGCCGGGGCAGGCTGAGGGCGCCGGGCACCTCTGTGCAGATTTCTTTAGAGTCGAGGTCTGTGGCCCGCGTCATCGACGACGACAGCAGGATCTGCTAAAGTGTCTCTCTTCCCAGGAAACGCCACCTCCTCCGAAGTGCGGAGCGAACGCCGCCGAATCTACAAACACCTACAAGCTGGATCCACTCGGCGGAACCCAGGGCCAAAAAACGGCGGCGAGAAGCGTCCCAGGCCCGCGGTTACCCGTTTTCCGAGCACCGGACTGCGTGAGTCGCACCAGCCCTGTCTTCGCCATCCCAGCCGAGGAGGACAACGCGAGGGCTCTTCGCTGCCTTTGAAACCAACCCCACCGCTAGCCGCACTCGCCGGCAGAACGTTTTCAGTGGGACCAAGCGGCTCCCGGGCGGCCTCCGCAGACCACGTGTAAAGAAACACGCCTACTGGCCATAGGCCTCGCCCTCGCTCCGCGCGTGCGCCCCGCCCTGAGAGCCTCCGAACCTGCAGGGGGCGATGAAAGTCTGCTCGCGCTCAGCTTGTAGCTGCTTCCGGGTCAGAGATCAGACGGTTCGGCGCAGCGTAGGCCATGGTGCAGCTCCGACCGCGCGCGTCTCGAGCCCCGGTGTCCGCGGAGGCGATGGTGGACGAGGGCCAGCCGGCCTCCGAGGAGGAGGCGGAGCACGGGCTGTTGCTCGGGCAGCCCAGCAGCGGCGCGGCCGCGGAGCCGCTAGAGGAAGACGAGGAGGGAGACGAGGAGTTTGACGACGAGGCCCCGGAGGAGCTGACTTTCGCCTGCGCCCAGGCGGAAGCGAGAGAAGAGGAGCGGCGAGTGCGGGAGACCGTGCGCAGGTTCGGAGCCCGCGGCGGGTCGGGGAGAACAGCCCCTTCTCGTCCCTCCTGTCCTTACCTTTGCTGACTTGTCACCCTTCCTCCCAGGGATAAAACGCTCCTGAAGGAGAAGAGGAAGCGACGCGAGGAGCTGTTCATCGAACAAAAGGTTAGAGGATAGGGAGGAGGCGTCTTAATTAGAACAGCCCGGCTTGGGGAGGATTCCCATGTTGGTTGTAATTTGGGCTGGTAGGATATTGGAGTGGGGAAAAATCACCAAGATTTCCTCTGACAGTGGTGGAAAGATGCTCGGCCTGGGCCTAGCAGTACTTTAGGGGGACGAGGTGGGCGGAGCCCGGAACGTAGAGGCTGCAGTGAGCCGAGATTGCACCACTGCGCTCCAGCCTGGGCAACAGAGCGAGACCCTATCTCAAATCTTAAAAAAAAAAAAAAAAAAAAAAAACCATCTTCTTTACTGTCTACCAACTGAAAATAGGAGGTTGCTGTGAAAATTAAATGAGGCGATTTTTTGTAAACTGTAAGGGCTGGACAGTGTATGGTTGCTTTGCTGTCTGATACACACCCGCCACAGAGCAGTGGCTCCAAATGGATATTATGTAATTGCTTTCAATTTACAACAGTGACCTGAGGGTTAGAATACCGTGAGCACCCTTTCCACTTTTCATCAAGTCTTTCAGAGAATATGGAATTGGTCCTGAATTTTGTGGACCCAATCCCATAGCTTGGAGGTAGTGGGGCAGTATCCAGCCTAATTCATTTCTTTGCCTAGATGTAGGGCTATTCTTAAAAGTGGTAACTTCAGAAGCAACTCAGGACGTATAATGTACATGACTTTTTATTAATTTTAAATGTTTTCATTCCTAAGAAAAGAAAACTTCTTCCAGACACTGTTTTAGAGAAGTTAACCACAGCTTCCCAGACCAAGTAAGTAATTAATCTTACATTACTTGCTTATATACACTCATCTTTGAATTACATACTGGCACATTTATTTGAATGCAATAACTGAAGGAATTGCAGATTTAACAGCTACCTTGGTATTTGAACTCCGTGGGAAAGACGGAGGTAACATTTCACTTCTTATTTTGCCATTTATTTTTGTTCATTCCCATAGCTGGCTTTTGAATTCCTGATCCCGTGGTGTTCATTCAGTACATTTTGTTAGCTGCCTGTCATTATACTAGGGCAAAGTAGATGGTGGTGAATAAGAAGTGTTTTGAACTCTCTCTCTTCTCTGAAAATTCGATTTTTCCCTTACTTGCCTTACCTGCCACCAACCTGTCCTTCCTCCCTGTTCCTCACTTCATTTAGCAACTTTGGTGTTTTATGGTTTAAAGCCAAAAGCTGTAGTCGTCCTTGGAAATCAGTCAAACCCTACTAAATTTAGCCTTCTAAATAGTTGTATATTTTTTTCTATCCTCTTTCTTTCCCCTTAATGTTTTAAATTTAGAAATTTAGCCACTTAGGTCAGTGGTTCTCAAGTTTTCAGTAAAAAAACTTTACCAAAAAGTTACTCAGAACTTGAATACATTAAACATGAAAGTAAATCTATTTGGTGGCAAATTCCCTTTCATCTTTTAAAACGAAGCTAAGGTGTCACCTCTGCCTTCTCATTTGCCACCCCCCCCACCTCCCATCACTTCCGCCTTCATGTGGCCTTTCTTCTGTGCAGGCCTTTCTTCTGTACAAGCACTTCTGTATTGTATTCTGTCTGTTTACATTTCTCTCTCCATTGGACCACAAACCCCTTGAGGCTGTTCCCTGTCTCCTGTGCCTAAACTATTCAATTAATCCTTTGTGATTTCCCCAAATGAAATGAGGCAGGCCTACTACCATTCACGTCATATTTCAAATACTGTATAACTTAACTGTTTCACTTTAATTCCATAGCATTTTGCTGCTTCTAAAGCCTGCTAATAGGCTTTCAGATCTCAATTACGAAGATCTTCCAATCCTAGTGATACTGGTTTGTTTGATTGAGAGTTGGTGGCAGTGTACCGGGGAGTGACTCTTGCTTTCCAAACTGATGAGAGCTCCTGAGTAGAAATGGAGATACTGGTAATGAAAGGGGGTGTCTTACTCGTAAAGCTAGATGAAATAGTGTGTTTTGAGTAACCTTTGCCATCTGCCATTCCAGTCAATGGTTTTGTTTTTTCCCCTTAGCATAAAGACATCGCCAGGAAAGGTGAAAAAAGGTATGATTATGCTGATTTAAGTAACTTCTCATGTAAGTATCACGTGCACTTCAGATGTTTCCAGTCAATTATGGATGGCCCTTAGACAGCAGGGGCCTGGCCAAGGTTAGCTGGAGCCTGTTCCCTGCATGTCATACTGATAAAAACTGCATCCACATTGGTGTGTAGTGGATGCTTAAAGTGAATTCCAGCAAATTTCCTGATTTATTTTTACATGAATTCTAACTAGAAAATGTAATTCATTTTTTTAGTTAATTTGCAAAAGAAAAATGAAGACTGCGAAAAAGGAAATGACTCCAAGAAAGTTAAAGTACAGGAAGTACAGTCTGTCAGGTAATGAGTCTTTTGTTTCATTTGGGATGTAAAGATGACCTTTAAGAGAGTTAAAGTATTGGCTAACATGGGAAAATATTTTAATTAGTTATTAATTTCAGAGTGGATTCTCTGGAAAAATCAGTTTGGGGCATGGTGGCTCACACTTGTAATCCCAGCACTTTGGGAGGCTGAGGCAGGTGGATTGCTTAAGTCCAGGATTTCAAGACCTGTCTGGGTGACACGGTAAAACCGTCTCTATAAAAAATTTTAAAAGTAAGCTGGGCGTGCTGGTATACACCCGTATTCCCAGCTGCTCCAGAGGCTGAGGTGGGAGGATCACTTGAGCCCAGGAGGAGGAGGCTGCAGTGAGTCAAGATTGCACCACTGCACTCCGTCCTGAGCGACAGAGCAAGACCGTGGCCCAAAAAAAAAAAAAAAAATCGATTTTAATAAAAAAGATCAGTTGAGTACTTTGATCTTGCAGGTGCTGCAGGTTAAGTTCAAAAACTTTTTTTTAGTGGTTTTATTATTGAGAAAATTTTCATTTCACCTCTCCCAATAGACAGATAGTTTATTTCAGGATACACTACAGCCTGCTGTCAGCACTCCAGACTTGCCAGCCTGTACTTCTTGAGGCAGTGTAATTTATCTGGCTGCTGAGTGTTCCTCTAGTCACCAACCTTTATGGTGCATGGTGCCAACGTGAAAACAGCCATTCCAATGGAAAGGTGTTCATAGTATTGCCAATCATGGCAGTTCTTCAAAAGGAGTCATTTTTCACAAAATTCAACATTTCCCTGACAATATGGCTTTATCTTCTATTCTTATGGTCTA